ACATGAGATGATGTCCAAATACAGAAGAAAAAGGACCAAGATGAAAACAATGAATATTGATTGATAGGAAAGACAAACAACACAGATCCAACCTACAAATAACTGGCATTTCTGAATCGAAATCATAAGCAAATATACAATTGAAAAATTGTTCCTGAGCTGGGAAAAAGAAAGATTTAAAAGATGTACTCCTATAAATTGAGTGAATTCACTATGTTTCTGAAAAAAACTGCTGGAAAGAAACTTATGCCTAGAGGTAGCCTATGGAATATATTTATTGAAAGAACAAAAAGAAAACAAAAATGTAGACAGAAAAACCAGTTCACCTACAAAGGAATAAAAATTAGGGTAACCTCAGCCACCTCCTCCACAGCAAGGAACACCCAAAGACGACAGAGCATATCTAAATGGCTGAGGACTTCTAACTTACAATTTTATATCTTAGCACCTGTAACAGTTAGGCACACTGTAAACATTAAATAAAAGTTGTAAGGAACAAAAAAAATTTAAATTTTTTAATGAATTTATTTTAAGTAACTCTACCTCTTTATAGCACCTTTCTTCAGCTCTCAAGCCTATCCATCAGCTAGCTAGATCTTTTCCCATTCAAACAACAGATTTATACGACATCTAATCTTTCTGATACCACTGTCATTACTTTTATAAGATTTTTTTAAACATAAAACAAGACTTCTCTGCATGTACATTTAAGAGAAATTATTCCTCCACTGGTGATGATTTGAAGTGACCCATCAGCTCAGTCTCTCTTGCTGCCTTTAAATAGTAGGACTAGAACTAATTGTAGTCAGCACATATGCTAAATTAGGCCAGAACCAGGAACTAAAAGCTTATGACCCTGGCCAAAGATATTCAACGAATAAGAAAGTATAGAAAAAGATCAACACTGTATCAGAAGCTCCAGACTCCGTGCCAGTCTAAATAGTCTGAATATACGATGAGCAATATGTTTTTAAAATATACTACCAAGTGCCATTATTTTTTTGGGAAGAAAATAAAGTGTTTGGACATTTTTGTAATGGAAGTGACATTCTCTTTAAATTTTTCTTCTTGCAAAGTCTTCTTTAAAGGCTAGATTAATGTGCCTTCTTATTTCCACAAGCTTTTCATTCATCCAGTCAGCACCTACAATATCCTAGCAGTTGCCATATGTGTGCTTATAGGAAGAAGTATCAAATTCTTTCTGGGACAATCAGTGAAGACTCCAAAAAAAAAGGAGTCTGGAAGACTTCAATTCAGTTCTTCAAGAACTTGAATACGGGCTTACAGTGGAGTGGGTATAGCTCAGTGGTAGAGCACGTGCTTAGCATGCATGAGGTCCTAGGTTCAATCCCCAGTACTTCCACTTAAAAAAAAAATGAATAAGGGTTTACCAAGTGGATGCAAAAGCATGTCAAAAAGATGGGGAGCTCCTACAAGACAGAGCCTAAAAAGAATGTTTGAAAAAAAAAAAAGGCAATAGATGAAGCACAGGTTGGGTAAAATACAGGTAGATAAGGTCCAATGGTTCCCAATGACAGGAGAAACCACTTCCGATGGGGCTGTTCGGAAACGAGTAGGACAATAATGGGTTGTCACAAAAAGGAGGGGTTGTAGTTTGCTATCACTATTTAGTGCTCCAGGACAGGTAAAATAAGCATCCTACAATGTATGGAACAATTCCATAAAAACGGCAGTTGAACCCCCTTTGAGAAACATTGAGAAGTAGATTAGGGCTTAACAAAGTCTGGAGAACTTAACCCTAGAATTTCTCAGTGTATCGTTGAATGCACATCTCAGAAATCTGTGATCACATCTTGCATTTCACTCGTTAAATATTTACTTCCAAGGAAGCTGTGTTTTTCCTGAGCAAAGTGGTATGTTTCCTTCTTTCTTTCACCATTATCTCAGAACTTAGTCTGTATTCCACCATTAACAACTATATAACTTTTCATAGTATGTGTGAGTATAACACACCTCAATCTTATCTTTCTATTCAAGCTTCATATTTTCATGATTCTGATTTATTTTTATTTTGCATGTTCATATATATAGCTTACAAGCTACCTTAAACACTTCCAGACCAAAATAGGGTATAAATTTTAAAATATAAACAGAAATAAGATAGGGAAACAATATCTTATACTGAGCCCCCAGAATCATCCTGGGAGAACTTAGAACTTTTAAGAGACTTTTAAAGAGTATAATATACAGTCTTGGCCCTCAACAGTATGTAACCAAATTTGTAAGAAAAGACTCAAACTGAAAAGAACATTAGAGAATAAAAGACAGTAGGAATTAGTGATAAATTGTACAACCACTGTTTAAAGAATTAGTATGAATTAGATAATAATTATAATAGCATATATTGAGCTTTTACTATGTATCAAAAAATCTATTAACTTATTAAATCCTCACAGTAACCCTATGACGTAGTTACTATGATTTTCTCCATTTCACAAATAAGGAAATTGGGACAGAGAAATTAAGAAATTTGTTCAAGGTAACAGCTGTTAAATGTGGCAATCTGACCTAAGGCAGTCAGTCTGGAACCAGAGCCTGCGTCCTAAAGGAGTTATATTTCAGCAGGAGGGTATAGCTCAAGTGGTAGAGTGTGCGCTTAGCATGCACAAGGTCCTGTGTTCAATTCCCAGTACCTCCTCTAAAAATAAATAATAAAATCTAATTACCTCCCCCGCTGCCAACAACAACAACAATAAGTAAATTAATTTTAAAAAATTACATTTCAGACAATCCTTGAATTATACTGAAGGGCAGACATACAACACAAATAATGATGAGGAAGATGGGGGGGGGTAGTGAAACTGGGAACGGGTTGCAATGAGGCAGAGTAGACAAGTAAAGACCCTGACTAAAGAGAAGAGTATAGATTAAGGAATACAGGAATATGCCTGGGGTGGGGAGGGATAGCAATTTCTAGACAGCCTTAAAACTCTTAATTCCATTTAAAATAGTGGACAATAGGACACTATTGTAGGTTCTTGAACTCAAGATGATTAAAAAGTTTTTCTCCAAAAGCTATCACGTGACAGTGATATGGAACCACTCTAACCTCGAAGCTAAACTCGTATTTGTAAATACTTTCTCTGGGTCTGAAGCTAAACTCGTACTTGTAAATACTTTCTCTGGGTCCTGTAAATCTATAAAACGAAGATTTAAGGCC